GGATGGATGAATCCCCCTATGTACAAGACTTTTAAAACAGGTTTCAATATCAACTTTAAAAAGAAAATATAAGTTTATTGACAAAAGTTCTCAAAAGCTTTCCTGATTGTCATCACCAGGCTTCACTTCATTTTTCAAATGTTCATTGTCACCCGCATCTAAATCATTGTTGTTATTTACCATGTTTTCAATACGCCTCTTGGTAGTATGGCTAGACAATATGTAGCATTGTTTAAACTTTGAAAGATGTGGAATTAATTTGGTAGATGTTTCTGGATAACTGAAAGAATTTCCTAGTTCGTTGATGAAAACAGCATCTTTTTTAGACCATTATTGCCTTAAAACAATTTACTTTATAAATGTTGTAAGAGCCAACATTTTATAAAGTGTTATTTCTGATACTTAATAGCGCCTACTTGCAACATTTTTCTAATCTGATGTGTTCTTCATTATATTGATTGGTAATTAATTTATCACACTCGAAAATAAACAACTTATCTCCCTCACCTAATGGCTCTGTTTCACAAGTTTTACATCCTTGCTTTTGTTGCACTACTTTTGAAGGTGTAGTTAGCCTCCGGTAAACCTTTAAAATTTCTTCGGCTTGGGGCTTCATGTTTCTTTAAAATGTTTGAAGCTTTTTTCCCAGTAAGACGAAAACTCTTTTTAAAGTAATATAATCTTCACTTCAGTTCAGAGCTTTTGTTTGCATATGTTCCAAATGATAGAAATATTTAGATGATCATTGAAACTTATTGAAGAGAATTAAGTTTATATTGAAGAGAATTAAGTTTAGCCTGAATTCTAGGTTGTGAAACTTTAGAATTGTTTTTTTTTTTTTTCATTCATTCTTTTGAAAGATAATATTTTTTTCAGACATTTGTCCTAACCAGTGGAATTCAAGGTTATTTGGGTAAAACTTTCATTCCTGTGGAGAGGCATTTGGTTATCATTCAGCACAGGTGATTCAATTATATAATATTTGTGTACATTCCAAATGTTGTTCAGATACTCAAATATTATTTTTTCCTCAGTCCACCTGTATTGCTAGCTAGGATGGTGCAGACTGACATCGTGCTCACTTATCGAGTTTTATATCCTACAATTTTTGAATACCTACTTTATACATAGCATACCTCTTTTGGTTATTGGCCAAGCCACTGTTCATAAATAAATTGAAATGCATTTTAAACATTTTGTTTAGTAAGCATGCTGTAAGGGTTCCATGGAACTTAAAACCACTTAATTGGTAATTTTTGACCTTCTCCTTCTTTGCAACACTTTAATTTGCTTGAAAGAGCAGTTATAGTTAAATCTTCATCTCATTTGTTTTATGCATATTCTTTCATATTTTAAATTTTTTTTTTAATGTGGGATCATCATGCTTGGTATCTTTAAGATCTGAATAAAACACTCACAACCTTTGCAATGTAGACTCACTGTGGCAATGTTTTAATATGTTAACTTCTTTTTTTACTATAGTTTACTATTTGGGAGTTTTAACCAACTGATAACTTATACTCTTTTGTCACTTTTACAAAGTTTGACTAAAACGCTTTTTTATCCAACGTATATTTATTTTAGTCAGTTTATGAAAACTTTTAATCTGAAACCATGTTACATAAGTAATATAATGTTATAAAAGTAAACAGAAGCAATTGTAGTAATAAAATGAGAGGATGGGAGGGGGCAGATCCTTAAAATTTACTTGACTGCTTACTTTAAAAAAGTAAGTCCTTAAATCTAAAATTTACCCAACTCAAATTTGTCAAATAGCCAACTAAATTTTTAAATAAACCGACTATAACTTGAAAATTGCCTTTGGAGGAGGGGGAATATGACACACACACTACACATAGAATCGCCTCTTTTTTTACAAAATACACATAAAGCAACTTAATTCTAGTGCGAAGTATATAGTTAAATACTGTGGTCAAGAATATTGTCTACTCAGCGAAGTTTCCATTGTTACATGTAGTTACTGCAGATTTTACGCGAAATGTATTTTTAAACAAAAGTTATCTTTATTAGACTTATTGTAAACAAATGGGCTTATGACAATTTGATGTTTTTTTAAATTAATTGAAACTAAATTTTCTAGAGTGTTTTTAAAATCAATATATATGCAGACCAAATTTCCATTGTTCCATTATTTTGTTTTGAACATTTAATAAGAATTGGTTGAAGTTTTAGTAAGATTTTGATTTGTTTGTTCTATATGGAAGTTTTGTATATTTTAATGCAGAATGGAAAAATGTTATTTTTTCAGAATAAAAGTTTAACTGAGATTACAAAGATCTTTTAGTTTTAATTTAACTTCACTAAAATTCAGTTTAATGAAGGTTTACCTACTGAGAATTGGATTTCAACATGTTATCTCAACAAGATAATGTGGTGATTCACTTGGCATGAAGTGTAAAACTAGGTTCCATGAAAAAAAAAGTACATGTTTTGGTTTGGCAAGTTCACTCGACTTAAAACCTATTGAAAATTTATGGGGAATATTGGCATGAGCTATATATAAAAATAATCTTGGTGGTATAATATGATAAAAGTACTTAAAATTTCTATCCAACAAGCATGGAACGGTATTTGAAATGTTTGTTTTGAAAATCTTATAAAAAGTATGAAAAACCGAATCTTTGAACTAATTAGTATAAATGGTGGTAGTGCACATTAAAAACTAAAGTAATTTAAAAATTATTATTTAAAACAAAAACGGATAAGGTTTACTTTTGATGGAACTATAGAGTGGAACGATTGAAATTTTCTGAATGTATTTGATAGTGAAAACTTATTTTTACCAAATGAAGAGTTTTAAACAGGAAAATGGGAGAACCTTCCAGGGACATTCCAGGATATGGTTAATGATTCCTGCTATATATCTTTTATCTTAAATAATGTGAACTTTTTTAACAAGTATTAATTTTCCAAAATGTTTAAAAATGCATTTTTCTTGTTATTATAAAATAAGAATAAAAAAACATTTCTTGATTTTAAATGACGAAAGTCATATGTCAAAATATATGACGAAAGTCATATATTTTGCTTGATCTTTAAATTTTCAAATAATTAAAAAATTTAACATTACATTGTATTGTATTATTGAAAAATTTGATATTTTCTGTATTGAAATAACTGTAACCAATGGTGTATAAGTTAATATTATGTATTTATACTATTTTTTTGTTTGTTGGTAATGTGTTGTATATAGTTTATTAATCATTTTAATATTTTATGATTCATTATAACCTTATCACTAGTAAGTTGATCGAAAGCATGGCAATATTTTTGTAAGAAAAGATTTGGCAAATCTACCACATGCAAAAAGTGTGATGTAAAAGTAATGTGCAAGGGATTTTCTACAAATGGACTCCTGAATTAGAAATCGAAAATGTGCACAAAAAAAATTAAAGCATTAGTTAAACAGCAGTCTATTGAGGAAATTGTGTCAAAACTAGCAACAGTGGATGGCTTCTTCATAAATGCCATAGCACAAAAGTGAAAGAAACTGTGGATGGCGTCGCTGTAACAAAAAATTAAAATGTTCATGCTTTTCAAGACAATTCTTAAATTTTAATTCAAAAAATAATTTAGATTACTGTGCTGATTTAAATTTGTGGTAAAAAACACGCTTAAAAAACACGTTTGTTTGTTGTTATATTTAAATTGTATTTTATATGAAAATAAAGTAATGCCGGGATTCGGGGAAATCTTGGGATACAGAAAACTACACAGCTGGATTCCTGTGATGCAAAATTTATGGGAAATGATAAACCCTAGTCCCCACCTTGTATATTAATCCAATCTCATCTAAAAGAGCCAGGAAATGGTGTTTATTATTGTCTCAAAAAGTTATCCAATTAAACAATTTTAAAATCATTTTTTCCTTAAAAAAGTGATACATTTTTGTTACTCAAAACTTTTTTGGTAAACATTTTTTAATAAACATTTTTTGGTATATAATATTAATAAAAGAATGTTGGTAAAGAAATATTGCTGTGGTAATAAAAGAAAATGTTTTTAAATAGATTTTGGTTATTTTGGTGTATTATATGAACCAGAATGTCTTCATTCTTAAAATATATGAACTTAAGTTGTTGAATTCCAGTCTCTTGTTGTACTTGGCAATAAGTTTTACGCAAATTGGTTTATTTTTTCTCAGAGGTTATCTCTGATCCATTACAGGATTTAAAATACGATCGAAAAAGTTTTCTGTCAATATCTTTTAAATTAGTTTAAAAAAAAAGTGTTTGGGTACTAAATATTAATACAAACTTCTAGTTAATTGTAAAAGGAAATAACTTTATCCATTTTGACTTCACAGTATTGAAAATGCCAGAAACTGTACCAAAAGTTAGAGATCTATTGCAACGACATTTACTTTAAGCCATTAAAAACAAAAAATATAAGAAATTGCATAACAATTTTTTGTTATGCAATTTCTTTAATTTTCCAAAAATTTGCTGAAAAATTTCATGAAATTTCACATAGAATTATTCAAGTCTACCAAGTATTGCTTGTGCAGATAATTTTTTTTCAAGCCTATTCAATACTAAGTTTCTTTTAGGACAAACAATAAACCAATTATAATTGTGGTTTAAAGTTGTTTATATTAAAGTGTAAACAAAAAATATGCACGTTAAATAAAGTTCTATTCACTATAAAATTAAAATGATATACAAAGAAAGTACCACTATTGTTTTTAGTGTAATTTAATAACATTTCTTTTAAAAAAAAAATTAGTTAAATATTTTTTGAGACACTGTAGATAACAAGTACCTTATTTTACCCCAAATGTTAGGAATTTATTCACAAAATTATCTAAATCTTAAAGGGTATTAAAATATTTGGGTGTAATAGGATGAAAAGGGTTTCATATTCAAAATCAAAATGAAAAAGCTATTTAAAAAAAAACATTTGCTAGGCAAAAAGATAAAACTTATTATTATTATTATTTTTTTTTGTTAGTCTGTAATGACTTTAGTTTTTTTTTTAAGGTCTGGTCAACTGTTTCTCAATCATCTAAAAACTTTATCGATCAATTACTATGTGTAGATCCAGTTAAGCGATATGATGCTACTGCAGCTTCCAATCATAGTTGGATGTCATCATTTCCTGCATTGTATAAACCAAAATCATTTCGGCATTCTCAAACGAGTGCGTCGAAACTAAAAACGAAAACTTCATATAAGTTTAGAGAGGATTCAACACCATATTTTCGCAAACTATCAACTGATCAACACCTGCCTGAAAATGATAGAGCAAAATTTGAAATGTCTGTAATAAATAATTCTTTAAATTCCAGTTTGAAACAAAAAAATGGTCTTATACTTCCTGTTTCAGGTGCTTTTCATGACAAAGTGATTACTAAAGAAAAAATATTAGATGATGTTAGTTCAATGTCTCCCAGCAACATAGATTCTGTGATAGCCACAGAGGATACAAACTCTAGCCCAAGTAATCTTGGTTTACTTCATGAATATTTTGACCAATTCAACTCAACCGATGATCCTGTGATAAGGGAACAAATCAGAAGTAAGTATTTAAATTCACTTTTAACTAAAACTGATGTAACAGTACCTGTCCAATCTGTAAAGAAAACTAATGACTCCCGTAGTTTTTTACGTCGAAATAGCAAGAAGGAGCAACGTATTCAAGAACAGTTTGCTAATATTAATGAAGATTCAGAAGATGAAGAAGATTTGTCTAATAATTCTAATCATTTGAAGTTTATAAAGCGGGATTCGACTTTCTCTAAAAAAACAGAAGTTTCTTCGAATTCTTTAAAATCGCCCTATATTCCTGTAGAAACTATTAATGCAGGTTATATTGAAAAGGTTGGGGTATGGTTAAGTGGACAAAATGAAGACACTACAGATATTTCCCACCAGAAATATAAATCTACAGAGCTTAATTTGTTTTCCACAAGGCGAACATCTTCTGCACGAAGTAATTTAACATTGAGTGATCATTCTAATCAAAGTAGTGCTTTTAGTAGATTTCTTCTTCCAGGTTCATCATTTAAACAAAATTTAAAAAACCCAGAAATATCTTTCATAGATAGAAATTATATGACTTTTTTATCAGAAGCTTAAAACTAAGTTTGACCTGCGTAAGTCTAATATATTTTGTTAACCATTTTAAAATTTTGAAATTTTGTTATTTTCAAAAAATTACCAGTTAAAACTTCAAAGGTTTTTATTTAATTACATTTTAAAGTAGAATGAAAGAATACTAACAAAATAAGGTGAACAAAATTATCCTCTAAAAATGAACCAATAGAGAATTTATAAAGCTAGCATTATTTTTATGCTATCACGTTATGCTTACTACAATAACATAAATATGAAACAATTGTTTCATATTTATCTTTTTGTAATTATTTAAGAATGTACAATTTTGTATTTATATACTTGTATTTATGTTGTTTTATTTTATATAATTTTCAATATTTATATATTTTTAATTTTTTACTGAATTGTATTTATCACTTTTAAGATGTAATTGAAGGTGGATATTTATATTTTTTTATTATTGCTCGGATATTTTCTTTTTTGTTTTTGTTTTTGTTTTTTTGTAAATAAAATACTTGTGCAAATATTTAATTGATTTCTTTATATGATGGTTTACTTGGAGCTGTATAGCTCGATTGTATTTATATAAGATATTACATAGATAGAGGTTGTTTTAAGAGTTTTTATGCAAAATTTATGTTTAAATACTGTTTTCAACCGTAAAATTTTCCAGCTATAAAGTTTTGTAGTTTTAATAAATTTTTATAAAATTTATTCACGTACTTTTCTTACAAGCAATAAGGGAATTGCACGGGAAATCGCAGTGGTATATTGGGTTTATTGAAAGTATATTCTTTTTTCATAGATAATCTTACCCTAGGGTTTACACCTTACGGAAAATGCATTCTGTGATCTGCATCATGCCACATGATTGACGCTCTTCATGTCACATGAAGCATAAGCATATGGCATGTAGTAACTCTTGATTAATTCAGTTCCGGAGGTTAACAGAGATGTATTTACGGGAAGCGAAAGGGGGCTTTGGCCCCAGGCGCCAAGTTTTAATAGGGCGCCAGCCGTCAGAATGGTAGAATCGTAGAAAGCCGTTAATTAGTAATTTAATATCATTTTTACGAAAATTTTTATATTATTATCATGTGCAAATTATAGATCTACTGATAGACCATATACTATATATATTCAAGTTTTTTGATACAAAATTTCCAATTATTTGCTTTTCAGCCTACGTGCGCTTTTTTTTTTTTTTAAACAAGAATATTTCTATTGGAAATTCATCTTTATAAAAATTATAAATTTGTATGGCTGGCAGAAGAAAGTATCATTCAAAAGGGGATCAAAGTCCACTTGCAAATTGTAAATAAATTTGTGCGAAAACGTTGATTTGTTAAAAAAAGTCACGTTGATCAGTTTGACCCATTTTTAGAGAATCCTTTCTTTTATAGAGGATCGAACCTACTTTTTAATATATATGAACAGTTCATAGATATAATGGCAGATAATTTTATTCAACAAATGGTAAAATAAATGAAGAAAGCTAAATATTTTTCCATCAATATTGATTCTACTTCTGCGTAGATTAACTGTGTTTATTTTTCGGTATGTTCAAAAGAATGGCTGCCCGGTAAAAACATTTTTAGAGTTTTTACCCAATTATGGTCATAAATCTGAAGAATCAGCAGATGCCATATTTTTAGCTTTAGAATTGCATGGATTCGATATAAACAATAGTCGTTGCTACAATTACAATGCGTCTAACATGTATATATATATATATATATATATATATATATATATATATATATATATATATATATATATATATATATATAAAATAGAAAGTAGAAAATCATTTCACAAAAGTTTTTTTTCCATTAAACACTGAGTTTTATCAATAAAGACTCATCAGAAATGAATGATCAAATTAATAAAACTTCAATTTATACCAAAAAATAAATTAAAAGAAGTCGCAAATATCTTAACTACTGTAAATTTTCACACATTTGCGGAATATGCTGACACTATTATACAAAAAATTTTTTAGAATTGATTACTTGTGGTTTTTTTAAAAAATATTTTTTTAAAAGGGGGATATAATGTAATTATTATTTGAGCTCACTTAATTTATAAAAAGTAATTTTAGGAGAAACTTATTTTCGTGCCTGCATTTAGAAATCAATTCCAATTTTTTATTTAATAAACATTCTTGGTTTATTAAATAAAAAATATGTTTTATCGAGATGTGGACCAGATTTTAAGCCTTTCAAAAAACCAAACAACGAATTATTGTTTATTAATATTAACTCAAATCATCTACCCTAAATTCTAAAACAAATCCCGATTTCAATTAATAACAGGCTAAACTAAAACTCCTCTAATAAAAATGTATTAGATTCTTCTAAAAAAACATTTACAGATGCCCTTAAAAAAAGTGGTTTTGAAACTTTTGAACTAAAATTTGACCCTGAAAAAAGAAAAATACAAAAAAATGAAATAGAACTAGAAATGTAATTTGGTCCAACACCTCATATAGCAAAAATGTTTCCACTAACATAGGAAAAGTATTTTTTTAAATAGTCGATAAGCATTTCCCGCCCTCTAATAAATTACACAAAATTTTTAATCGAAATACAATTAAAGTTTGCTACAGTTGCACAAAAAATATGGAAAGAATTATAAAAGGTCAGGATAATGCTTTGTTAAATAAAAAAGAAATCCTAAATGAAAAAACTACAGAAAATTATAATTGTAAACAAAAAAACAATTGTCCAATGAGTGGAAGCTGTTTATCCAAAAATGTGGTATATAAATGGGTTGTTTCCACTAAGAATGTACCTGATAAACAATATATTGGCATAACAGAGGGTGAACGGAAAAAACTGTTTGAGGCATTCCTTCCGATCAACTAGCTACTGATATCTACTGGTGGCACCATGCAGTTCTCTACCGTCTGAATATAATTTTGTCAATTCGGGGTGAATGAATGTAACACTTACCTTTATAATTTTTGTAAACTTGTAAGATGTAACAGCTACTGAAATTAAAGCAGCCCTAAATACTAACACTCCAACTGCCACCCTGCAATCTCGGTACAACAAAGCAATTACTATATTTTGCTTGCTTTCACTGTGTTTTTTTTTCAACAACCAATATTTTCCTTACATTACTTTAATCTTCTAAGCCAATATTGAGAGCAGCCGTGGCGCCTCAGAAACAAAAGATCCGTAGTTTAAACTCTACCTCTGGACAAGTTTTGCAACATTGGTTGGAAAGGAGGCGTGAACTTTCAATTAAATGCTCATCCGCGGTGCTCCGTGATTAGACCGTAAAGACTTCTTGGGGGCACCTAAAGTAATATATATATGTATATATATATATATATATATATATATATATATATATATATATATATATATATATATATATATATATATATATATATATATATATATATATATATATATATATATATATATATATATATATATATATATATATTGTCGTCAGCATGACGTTTCATATATTGATGTCAGCATGAGTTTTCTAACGGCTAAATATATTGTCGCCAGCATGAGTTTTCTATCAGCTAAATAAACACCAATATTTTTACTGAGTGAAATGTTTTTAGCCAATTTTTTTACCGGTTTTCGTTAAATGTGTAGGTAAGTTCACGGTGACTTGGAAAACCTTGGATAAGCTTTCACTGACAAAAAAAAAAAAAAATTTGCTCTCTCCATAGTTTTTTTTTATCTTGCATACTCTGTTTGACGGGTTCTAAATTTCATTCTAAAATCTTTTCAAGTTCAAAGTTAATATCATGTCAAATGAACAAAATATTTTACTGTGTCTATTTTTTTTTTTTTGAAAGTGCTGTATAACGAATATACTTTTGATCTCTGAGGCCTAAACGCTAACCTTCTGAGGCCTAAACGCTAACCTTCTGTATAGACCATGAACAATTGAAAAGTTTTTCAATATTATATGTCAAAAAATGTATAAAAAAACATATGAAAAAAATTCGAATAGTTTTAGAAATTTTTTTTTATGCAGTAAATACAAATTAACTACATTTTAATAGTTATATTTTATTTTCTGATTATTTATCCTAATTTTTTAAATGTTTTACTTTTAAATAGTGCCGGTTAAGTATAGTTAAAGCAAAACGTGTGAATCAGAATTAAATAAAAAAACGCAGTCACCCATAAACCTTAGATCAAGACACATTAAAATAAACACGGCCAATTATCAGGGTCGCACTTATCAAAACTGAAATGTTTAAAAATAGTATTGGTGACAATTGTGTGCTTACCTTTTATCTTACCATAAAAGTAAAGATTAGAAATTCTAGTAATAAATTACTGGATCAGTGTCTGTTTCTTTATACAAACAGGCTGAGTTGCCAAGTTCGTACCCAACTTGTGGTTGCTTAGATACCTTAACAAAGAGTAAAAAAAGTGGTGTGCTTCAGAAACATTTTGATGCAATAAGTTCAGAAATTACAGGAAGAAAAATGTATAATCCTAAAAAGATCATCTATGGTTTTTAGTATTACTCAGTATTTCTGTTTCTATATGACAAGTTGAAACAAGGCAATTCTTTAAACAAGGCAACTTCCAAGTATCTAACTTTTAAAGAAAAAAAGTAATACTTTTTTTTACATAAAAAAGTAATACTTTTTTTTACATAAAAAAGTAATACTTTTTTTTACATAAAAAAGTAATACTTTTTTTTGTGTCGATTTTGAATTCATGATTGAGAAAAAAGGCAAAGAACAGTTATGAGAAGTCTGTGTTTTATTAATAGATGAATTGTGAGTTAATGTTCTTACATATTGTTTAGGGTCTTTTTACGGCAAGGCTGTAATTGAACCTAAATCGTTAGCAACAACTGCTTTGTGTATTTTTTTGTTTGTTTCAAATTGCGGTGGTCTTAATTATTTATGATGTAAGTTTCCAGAAACTTACAACATTAATAATTAATTAAATTATTCCCAGGCTCCAATCATCGCATTTTTTTGCACGCACCATTTTTTGATATAAGGAATCGTCCGTAGACTATTAAACGTTCAATTTATTTCAAAAAAAAGAAATAGGAGATCATCTTGTCTTTAGCCCAACGAACTTCATTGCAATTAAAGTTTTAATTTATGGTTTAATAATACTTTTATAGCTCTATTAATATAATGTATTTATTTTATATTTAAATTATCAAAAGATTTGTATAAATAAAGAATTTACTGATCTCAACGTTTTTAATATTTAAATAAATTTATACTATAATGTATTTATTTTCATTTGACAGAAGCTTCATTTATAACACAATCTATTTATTTTATATTTAAATTATCAAAAGATTTGTATAAATAAAGAATTTACTGATCTCAACGTTTTTAATATTTAAATAAATTTATTAGACACGAATACAATAATATACTATAATATATCGATGTAAAACAGCTATATTGTACAAGGGCCCCCAGTTTATCGCATAACTTGTCAGTTTAAACGACCTGTTAGGCTTAAAATTGCCTTGATTTGTAGCTATTTTGAAGTAATTAACATTTTAAGCACGTGCTGCAAATCACGAGCATGAATAACTTCAGCACATTTGAAAACGCAAGTAATTTTCAGCATGAGATTATTAACCTCCTGATCGTGTGCAATTATGCTCACAAAAGTTACCTCCGCAAATAATTTGTGTACATTAAAAACCAAGCGCAATTTTAAACGTAAACTGTTTAAATTCAGGAGGTTTATTATGAAATATTGAAAAGAAAAGCTACGAAAACAGCTGAAAACAACTATCTTTTGGATCCAGCAAAAGTTAAATAAACAGCGTTCTTTGAAACAGTAAAGTAAAGTAATTATAAGTAAACAACTCAAAATATTTGAAACAAGTATTAACTGTAACTAACTTGGTAAAATGAAACCGCCAATAAAAATAGTAACTTTATTAGTTTTGTATGAACTGACAATCTTAGTATTAAGCGAAGCTGATAAAGGAAATGAGTTTTTTACTGCGGCATCCGATATGGAGATTCTTCTTAAAGTCGAGAAAAAGTTAGCAGATAAATTTCTAAAGTACTTTGAAGCAGAAGAAACGCGGCTTAATGAATTAGAAAGAATTTTGACTCACGTGGAAAAAGATTTACCACCAAGAACATCTGAATTTGAAAATGAAAAGTGGATTTCACATGTTACCAACGCCCATGGTTCTCTTGACAGATTCACAAAATTTTGGAATAATTTTGATAACTATACAAAAACTAGGACCACTAAAGACAACCTTTTAAGTTTGTTTGCCGACTTAGTTAAATTAAAACCAGCTTACCCTACGAACGAAGATTTGTTGGGGGCACTTGCTGCGCTAACAAGGCTTCAACAAACGTATGCCATATCACCTTCAAACTTTGTTGACGGAATTCGTCAACCTTCGCATAAATTAACACTGGAAGAAATTTTCGAAATTGGATATCTTTGTTTGCAAACGCATGATTACATTCATGGCCATGCATGGTTAAAAGAAGCTCTTTATAGGTTTCCAGTGGATGCAAAAAGTGTGGGTTTTGTTGAGAAAGCTATGTTATTAGGTATATATTTTACATGTTTCTAGTAAGTATCGACTGTGTTTTTCATTATATAGCACTGACTATATAATGACTATACTGACTATATAGACTAATATATTTTGAACTGGTTGGCACAACTATATCGTTGAAATTTTTTTTTTTTAACTAAACTTAAGCAGTTTTAAGGTATTTCATAATATTTACCGATTATCTACACAGTTTAATAACAAAAATTTTTTACAACAAATAAAGACAAAATAATATGACTAAATAATATGTTTCTGCATTTTAAATTAGCTACCATAAGCAAAAGTACTTCAGGCATCGACAATTATTTAACTGGTTTTTAAGTTTTAAATAAAAGCTGTATTTGACTTTTACAAATCGTGACGTTAGATTAGTGGGGTTCTACCTCCTTTTTAAACGTTGAGAGAATTTAACATCTAACTTTTAATTATTTAATTATTTTACTGCTGTTGTTGTTTCTATTTTTTTTATGTTACTTATGTATAACAGCTAATCTTATCAGGCGGGTTTTGTTATAGCTAATCTTATCAGGGGCGGGTTTTGTCGCTCGCGAAGGAGGGGGCTAAAAAGGTCTTTAAAAAAAAAGACCCGCATATTTTCATTTATAGATAACTTTCAAGTTTATAATTTATTTATTTGGCAAAAATATTAGGGATTTTTTGTTCCCAGACTTCAATCATCGCAATTTTTCAGCAAAGCATCCTTATTTGACATAAATATAAACATACAAATGTTTCGAGTTTGCTCCATGTCTGAATGGTTGCTATCTTAAAGACCAAAAAATGCTGGATCCGCCCCTGATGAGGGGTTGGTATAAGTAAAGTTAAAATAACATAAAAAAATAAAACTAATATTGTTTGTAAACAATAGTTTCTGTTGGACTTGTCTTATGCATAAAATATATAACAAACTCTTTTTTTTTTAAGTTTATGGTTTAATGGCCTCTGGGAACAACCTAGCCTTCAATTTTAGTTTTTAAGAGAGGATATTCTAGTTGCCTTCAAGTTTTTGACACTTTAAAATAACAAGATGTATTTATTGATTATTCAAAACATTTTTAATAACCATCGTCCACAAACACAGTCAATCAGTAAGAAAGTTTAGTTTTTTAAGACAACAATAAAAGCCATAACACGCAATTTAACATTAGATCTTTACTTAATAACTTTAGTAAAAAATCTACAAAAACAAGAAATTGTTTTTATGCTTACATTGCAAGATTCACGCCAAAAAACATAAGCATAAAAGCTTAAAAATTAATTTAAGCATAAAAATTAATTAAAGAAGTATAATGATATTTTTAGCGTTTATTTGCAAACTCAATAAATCTTTCTATATAATCATTAAAATATATTTACAAACGCTGGAAAAAAATCTTTCAATATCTCTTTTTAATATTTGGTGATACACACGAGTCGTGTGTATCGTGTGACACGACTGCAGTTTTACATGTGCATTCGTTATTGCATTCATACGACTAGTTTTTTAAGATGTAAGTTTTTTTATCTCATAGAAAAAAACATTTACACTAAAAAAATCAATTAATTTATGAATATTAGTTAAATTTAAATAAGTTGAAGGTTATCTTTATTATCATTTAATTTTTTTTTTAAATGTAAAATCACCTCCCCAAGGCCGAGAAGGCCTTGGGGAGGTGAATTTACCTCCCCAATGAATCGTGAATACAGACGAGGAGACTACTTAATTGTGGTTATATCCTTATCTCTACTCTATAACTCCGAAACACGAACTTTGACAAACAAGACCGCGCGCGGAGCAACAAGTTGAGCGCGACACTACCAGGGACGTTGGTGGGGATCGAACTCGAAACCTCTCGCTTATGAAGCGAGCGCTCTACCACTACACCACTACCGCAGTTATATGGCAAATATCAATAATAGCTAAAATCGCTGTATTAAGTGGACCTGCCGGTACAAATTATTACGTCAAATGATACTTAAATCTTATTTTCTTTGATAACTTATTATTTTGCTTTTGCATTTGTAAAAGATAAACAAGATGCTAGGATAATATATGCGAGGATGCACCAACAGTGTGGACTTTTGTTCGAATTGGGTTATGTTTATCATTTTAATAAGCTTTAATGCAGACGTAGAACCGAAAAGCATTAGAAAGATGGATACTCTTGTTTAATTTTTTAAAAATTTAGTCAGCATTCGTTAAATAAGACCTAGAAACTGATTTGTAGGATCATTGTTGGAAATTTACCAGTACATTTACCAAAATATTTTAAATTTATTTATATTAAAATTTATTTATTGTCTAAAATGGGAAAATGTTATTTTTATCAAATAAGTAGTTATTAGTTTTTGATTGATTGATTTAATATTGCAGTTTTTGATTGGTTGATTTAATAATGCAGTTTTTGATTAGTTGATTTAATATTACAGTTTTTGAATGATTTATTTAATATTGCAGTTTCAGTAAGTTTCTTCGATAAAACCATATTATTAACACTAATTTTATCTTTTTAGTATTAAAAACCAAATTGTTATAATTAATATATGCAAGTTGTGCACAACCCACTAAATCGGTTCATAAAAAAATTGTTTTAGTAATTGACATTTTTGTTAAAATTTCAAGTACTTCTACAGATAGTTTATCGATCATTTTCTACAAAATATTTGGAGAACATTTTGTCGTTTTAAAATCTAATTGAGTAAATCTTCTATTAAGAACTTAATTTTTAACCACAAACAGTTTTTTGAACACTTTTTTTAAAAACAATTTTTCTTTAATAGTTCAAAACTGAGCAATAAAAGTGAACAATAAAAAAACTAATCAGTACGTTTATCTAAACATCTTTAATCATAGTATTATAATTAGTTGTTTTGATTAGTTTTTAAAAACCTTTTTGTATTTATAGAACATCTTGCTTGGTGCGAATATTATCTTGGAAAGCTCGAAGACGCCATCAAACATACGAGGGCTATATTAAAATTTGATCCGACCAACAATAATGCTCTCATAAACATTGAACTCTATGAAAGAGAATTTGAGTTAAGCAAATCTGATCCAACGATACGGAAAAACTTTACCCAACCAAAACACCATTGGGAAAATCATCACAACAAACTATGCCAAGGGCGCGAAAAAATGGCTCAGAAAGACTTAAATAGACTATTTTGTAAGTACGTTGCCCCCAAAGCGCATTACATATTGAAACCTTTTAAAATGGAAGTTTTGCATCACGATCCATACATTGAACTTTATTATGAACTAATCACTGATGATGAAGCAAAGCATATAATAAAATTTGCAAAGCCTTTGCTACGAAGAGCATTTGTTCACGATATGGTAACTGGAGATTTAATTTATGCTGATTACCGCGTTAGTAAAAACACATGGATAGCGGAAGATATGGACGTTATAGCTGCAAAAATAATACGCAGAGTAGGAGATGTTACTGGTCTTAATATGCGCTATGCTGAACACTTGCAGGTAGCGAATTACGGTATTGCAGGTCAGTATGAGCCTCACTTTGACCATTCTACTGGGACAAGACCTAAACATTTTGACCGGTGGGGTGGAAACAGAATTGCTACGATGCTTCTATATTTGTCTGATGTGGATTGGGGTGGTAGAACCGTTTTCACTAACACCGCTCCAGGTGTTGGTACTGACCCAATTAAAGGTGCAGGAGTATTTTGGTATAACCTACTGAGAAATGGAAAAAGTAACCCAAAAACTCAACACGCAGGTTGCCCTGTAGTATTAGGCCAAAAATGGGTCGCTAATTTATGGATACACGAACATGGTCAAGAGTTCAACAGACCCTGTACTTTGAATCCAAACGAATAAAATGTTGTTGGTTTATAAGTATTGAGAAGACTGGTGACTAGGATTAGAAATAAATGTAAAATAATAAATAGTATCCACAATGTTTTATAAGAACCATATGAATATAAAAGTTTAATAAATTTTGTTTTATAAGAATATTAAACAATTTAGTAGTTAAAAAACACAATAACATTCCAAAAAAAAATATATATATATACAACAACTTTTGACGCTTTAAGATCCCGTTTTGCGGTGAGCCATTTTTAAACGCAAGTCTTTAATATTTGACAGAAAGTCCATCTGTTGTGATCCAAATGGTCCTCTACTTTCGCTACTTTTAAACACTGCAAGATGAAAAATGTGCAATTAAAAAAAGATTCATTTTTAAGAATTTAATGTTAAAAAATGTTTAAAATAAATTAATTATTTAATTATAAGTTACTCCTACAAAATTTTAATCTTTTTTGCTGTTTCAAGATATTACTTTCGAGTCCGTAATAAAAAGAAGAAAAAAAAAAAAAAGGTGGGGGCGGGGGTGGGACGTTTATTAATTTTTGGAAAAATTTCCCACCCACCCAAAGCTTATTAAGATCCTCCCTTTTATAAATTAAACTTGTTATCAACAAACAAACAAAAAATCAGTAAAAATCGGCCTAAAAAAAATAGAAAATAATTATTTCAATCACTGATAAAAATAAAAACTTTTAGTGTAAGCAAGCTTTAAAAAGCGTTTGGTTTATTTCTCACCCAAATATAAAACTTACATCAGCGTATTAAATTTAATAATTATTATAAAAACAGCTGTTAGAAAATGCGCATATGACCGCAAGCCACGCTAGTTTTATGTGTGTTTTGTAAAAAATATTAGTTTGGATTTATAAACTAAAATTAATAAAAAAATACCTATATTGTAATATGAAAAATTCTCCCCCTTCCTTTTATTAAAACCCCCACGTTTATTAGATTTGGACTAAAATTCTCACCCCCTGTTATTCCCAAACCCCTTATATAAAGGACTCGAGAGTAAGACAAAAAAACAAAAAACAAATAAAATGAACAAACATAAAATATATAAAATTTTAAAATTATTTTTAAGCATCTTTTATTGCGTAATTGCAAAATGGCAATTTTATCAGCATTAACTTTGATTGTTATTATCCAAATCAGCAAAAAAATTTAGCCATTTTTGGAAAAATAAATACATTTTTATCAAACAAACTTTTTCTCTTGCATTAAAACATTGTTCAAATAAAAAACAAGATTGATTGCACTCATCTAAGGTTTTCTTAGGTAATACACGAAAGGGGACGTTTATTAACTTGGGGTGAGCGGGAGATTCTTCCCGCTCACCCCAAGCTTATAAAGACCATGTTTATCAACTTTTATTTGTATTCAACAAAAAACTTCTTAAAACTTAAAAAAAAAAAAAAAAAAAAAAAAAAAAAAAAAAAAAAAAAAAAACAGAAAAAATATATATCAGTCACTAATAAGAATAAAAATTTGCAATCAGGCTTTAAAATCATCGACCTTTAAAAAATCTTACAAACCTCGATTCTTCAAAAAATGTAGGTTTCGATTAGTGTGGAAAAATGTGTAAATTCAAACAAATAAACAAAAAATACGTTTTTGATACTATTACTTTTAATAAGAAAAAGATAAAGAAATTAAATTAAAAATAATTAATAGAAACTGACTCTCAAAATAAAACAAATATAAACATTTAATTTTATAAACAATAACTTTTAAAATAATTTTTAAAAAACATAAATTGTCAAATGCGCTTGTGTCGATGTCACTTAACGATGAACGAATTTTTGTAATAAAATGACCTGCCGCCGAAAAAGCTTTTTCTGAATCGATTAATGTTAGTGGAATAGTTAATAGGGCATTCTACACTGTCTAAATTATTTGTACACTTTTTCGTTGCACCAAAAATACATATTCTTTAATAATTTCTTAACGTCATTTCATGCATCTACTGGATTCTCAAAGCGACTAACATTCGTAATAGTAGCACCCAATTTTTGATGAAGTATTAATTCTAATGTAGTTGATAAATTTGGTTCGGCTTAAAAAGACGTTTCAATTCCAAAATTACTGCATTCTAATTTTTCAATATAAGCGGAAGTATCACCACCATCATTTTACTCAACAAATAGCTTAGAAAATAATTTTTTAACCATAGTTTGAAGGACTGATTCGGAAGGCAATAATAATATAGAACCTGTCTAATTCGTGTTTATAATTTGATGAATTATTTAAATATTTTAGTAAGCCAACTAAATTTTTATTCTGTCTTTCAACAATTCTCTATTGTACACACTGCAGCATTTTAACAAAAAAGCAATCTTTGTTTTTGGGCAAAACATTTAATATAAACATTAATACAACCTCTGCATCAAGTAGAGATGCGTTGCGTCGACCAAATCTTTTAATTCCGAGTTTTATTGGGCGTAACGCCGTTACTACAGTCTGCATTACTAAATATTCCTCCTCCAAAATATTGTTAATATTGCCGTGTTTAAAAGCCGTCAATGCTTTTAATGTTTTTAATGCAATAAATCGCTCCAACATTACAAAAAGACTATTATGAATGGCAATCCTCTTACTGAGTCCTCTTCTTTACGTCTTCTTGGATTATCGCTTACTACTGACCTTTCATGGAAACCATATATACAATCGATTGCTAAATTAGCTTCTGCTAAGGTTGCTTCTCTTTATCGTGCTCGCCATTTCCTTACTTCTGATTCCATTCTCTAACTCTACAAATCTCTTATTCGTCCCTGTGTGGAATACTGTTGTCATATTTGGGCTGGTTCTTCTAACGATTCACTTTCTCTTCTTGACAAGGTCCAAAAACGCATTGTAAATGTTGTTGGACCTGGACTATCTGCTAAGCTTGAACCACTTTCCCATCGTCGTAAAGTCGCATTTCTTTCTCTTTTCTACAAATACTACCATGGTCACTGCTCAAAGGAGTTATCATCTCTAGTTCCATCAACTAAAATTCATTCTCGTTTTACTCGTCATTCAGCTAAGTCTCATTCGTTTACTGTATCTGTCCCTGTATGCTCTAAAAACTTTTATTCATCTAGTTTTTTTCCCCGCACTTCAATCCTTTGGAACTCTCTCCCATCTTCATGTTTTCCTGACTCATACAACCTTCAACTTTTCAAGTCTTCTGTCAACCGTTTCCTTGCTCTATAACTCTGTTCTTTTTTTTCCTAGTAACTCCCAACTTAATAGTGGTTGCTTGCAGCCTTGTTGGGAGTAAATGCAAATAAAAAAAAAAAAAAAATTTCATCTTATCTTTACATCCACTATTAACTTGAGCTCCTTTTGTATTTAATTTTTACGTATTTTTGTAAAATTTCATTTTTGAGTGGTGATTTACAAAACAATTCTCCGGACCTTTTGAATTGTTTGTGCAATACTAATGTTGTCTAATAATTCACCAGTAAAAAATCCAAGAACATTTTCTCCTGAGGCTATATATAAAGCCTTAGATGCTTATATATATTTTGTCTCTGGTTGGGTGCAACAAGAAAACTTCTTTACTTTTCCCCTAACAATTTTATAGCCTTAGGTAGGATTATGTGGGTTAAAGTTATATACATAATAACTAATGTGGAAGAGGTATGTTGTATGCTTGAGAGAGGTATACTTGACAAAATAACTTAATTTGCATCCACCCCTGAGATAAATAATCCATTGAAGTTGTAAAATCGATTTCTTCAGTCTCATAACCTTTACTATTATTTTCATCAGGATTCGGATACATTACAGTCACTGCCAGATGAATTTGAAATCATTGATTTGTAGAGAACATCACAAACTGTTAAATCTAGCCCATGTGCATAACAAAGTTAGTGACCCGCTTAATCTTCCAAATTTTGTTATAACTGAAGCACCTTCAGTTACAAACGAGATTTTATGCTTCTTTGTAGACAAACTAAATTCGGATAATTTATTTTCAACCATATCCACAATTTTTGCAGCTGGAAGCAACTCAAATATTTGAATCATGTCTATACATACACCTGTAGAATCCACAGATGTAGCTATATTTAGATAATTGAAAAGATGTAACATCTGTTGCTACACTTTGATAATTAAAAGGATGTAACATTTATAAAATTCGATGTTATTATACCTCATTTACAGAAGTTGTTGGACAAATGTTATTAGACATGGCAAATACTAACGTTGTTACTCTAACCTAGGGTTGAAAATTTCCCGGAAATTTTGAAGTCGGGAAAATTTCCGGAAAATTTCCGGAAATTTTCAAATACTTGTTAAAAAAAAAAAATTTCAGGGCTTCTCTGATTATTTTTAAATGCTTACCATAATTTTACTGTTTTAATAAAGAAGGTTTATATAAATAAACTAATAAATTTCACAAATAAATACCTAGGTATTCACTAATAATATTAGTAAGTAGTTCTAAAGTAAATCTAATGGCAATAATGGTAAAAATAATAACTACAACAACAACAATTATTATAACAATGGTGATGATGATGATGATGATGATTATAAAAATATGATTATAAATTAAAATACTAACAGCTTTTTTAAATAAAATAGATAAGTAAATAACTTATTTACTTATTTATTTTATACAATATTATGAATTGGTAAAAGTGCAATATTATTAATTTTTTGGTGTATAACTTTATAGTATTTTAAGTAGTATTAAAACTTTATAATATTATAGATGCATAACTTTATAGTATCTGAAATGATTGCTACACAAACATTCCTTTTTGACATTTTTTAATGATTTATATAAAGCTGTCAACCTAAACCAAAGAATAGGTGATACAAGAGAAACAACAAATAACTTGCCATTATATATGTTATATAATTAAATAAGTTTTTTACTCTTTTTGAAATAATAACAATAAAAACATTACAAAAATACTTTATAGGTATATTAGTACTATAGCTATAATGATAATAATAAATTAGTGTTGAATATAAATTATTTATTAGATTTGCAGTCAGTATGAACTGCTTTTCTAAACTAAGTATACATTTTAAATTATTCTCATTTATTTTTGTACTGTAAAAATTTTTTTAGCAACAATTATGCCTAGAAAATTAGATCAAGTCTGGAATGGTCACTTTAAAAAAAAAAAATGTCAATATGGGAAAACAGCATTTATTTGCACATATTGCAATGCAAAATTTTGCACACAAAACTCTACACGAGCTAAAAAACATTTAGTTACAGATTGTACTAAATCTCCAAAAGCTGTAAAAAAAAAGTTTGCAACAGATGTTATGAAACAAAGTTTTGCTCCTAAAACAAAAAACGGAATATTATTAGTTAAATCTTTAATTGAACTCAACACAAATACAACAAATAATGCAGGTGTGTCAGATTTAATAATAGAAAATGATTGTTTTATTGATTGCTGTGACAACAATTATGCTATCTTTAAGAGAAAGTCAGGAACCAGTTCCGCAATGAATGTGGCTAATAACGAATTACATTCTGATTTACAAGAATGTTCTTTATCAATTATTTTAGAAGAAAAAAAGGCTTTCTGTTCAACTTCTATATATACTAGCAATCAAAAATCAATATCATATTTTTTTGATAAAGTTTCAACACAAGAGTGTGATGAAATAAATATACAATATGCAAGAGCAATTTATGCAACAGCCAGCCCTTTCAGGATGTCGGAAAATTCATTCTGGACTAATTTTTTTAAAAAGATTCGACCAGGTTGGTCACCTCCCAATCGTTATGCCCTGAGTCATAATCTTTTAGACACAGTATATAACCAAGTAAATAAATTCATACAAGATTTAATATCCCAGTCAGAAACCTTTGTTCTGATGACAGATGGTTGGTCTTGTATAAGTAATGATTCACATATACAGATTATGTTAGCTACTCCAACTCCAATATACATCAGAAGTATTCATCCAAAAGAAAACTCCCACACTGGACAATACATATTCAATTAAATTGTTGAGATTATTGAAGATAAAAATGTTATATCAAACAAAAGAAAAATAAAAGCTTTTTGCACTGACAATGCAGCTAACATGGTAGCAGTTTGGAAATTAATAGAAAATAAATATGATTGGATGTCAGCATATGGCTGTTTTTCTCATGGCCTAAATTTATTAGCTTGTGATCTTGCAAATAAGAACAAAATAATTTCGGAAACACTAAAGCAAAATAAACAACTAGTTAAGTTTTTTAAAAGTAAGCACAGTCTAAAAAGTATTGTTGAGCGTTGCAGCCTACACTCCTTGAATAAAAGTTTTATTTTAATTCTTCCTGTAGTAACAAGATGGTCATCACAATTTTATATGTTACAACGCAATATTCTACTCCGTGATTCATTGCGACTGGCAGTAACTGATGAAAAAGCACAAAAGTATCTTGACAAACATAATAATAAAAAAGGAATTGACTTAAAGGAATTAGTATTGAATGAAACCTTTTGGAAAAAGACGGATTTAATTTTCAAACTTCTGAAACCTATATCAGAAGCTATTTTGGAATCAGAGAGTGATGCAGCGTCAGTATCTATTGTTCCACAAGTCTTTTTTTATGTAATAACTGAGATATCTGATGTGTTGCAAAACTCAACACTTTTGACTTTACATCAAAAAGAGGATATCATTACTTGCATTAAAAAGCGTGAAGACTTTGTTGTAAGACCGATACACTTTGCAGCAAATTTACTTGATCCAAGATTTGTTGGTCAAAAGTTAAATCATTCAGAAATGCTTTTAGCTGAGCAGCATGTATTCAGAACAGCTGAAAATGAAACACTAGCCACTGATATAATATTGGATGAATTAATGAGTTTCAAAGCTCGTAGTGGAATATTTAGCCAGGATAATCGCAGCTATATTTGGAAGCTTAATGAAGATTGTAATCCAGTCACATGGTGGAAAGCATATGCACCAACAACATTATTGAATAGAATTGCATTAATATTATTGTCTTGTAACTGCAGCATTGCATCTGTTGAGCGTGCAAACAAAGAGTTTTTATTGCAAAAATCTAAAGTAAGAAATTGCCTAACCGATACAAGAGCATCAAAGCTTTTATTTATTGCTTATAATTTGAAAATGCAGAATAAATTGGCTAAACGTAATTCTAAAAAGATAAAACATTCATGTTTAAAAACAAAAAACATTGATGAAAAAAGCCAAAAAAATCACAGCTGCTTATCAATCGATAATGATGATGATGATGATTATGATGATAACGAATACGATAGTGAGTATTCAAGTGAAGATAGTATTGACTTTCACATACCATGAAAATGGCTAAGCATTAACGTTTGCAAAAACATGCTATTTTTTTATAATAGTCTAGTTGGGGAGTTTAAATAAAATATATATATAAAATTATTTTTTTATTTTTATTTATTAGTTAAAAACCCACTATACAAGTAAGCTAAATTAAAGTTTAGTTCAGGATAAATGAAAAATCTTGAAGTTTTTTTTTTTTTTTATCAAGATTTTCATATAAACATGATCATCTAGGAATTTTTTTTTTCAAGAATGTCCTTGAAGATTGTTTTTTTGTTCCTTTGAGTTCCAGAACTCAACTGCTCATTTTAGAGTTTGAAGATCCGTTTCAGGAATTACATCTATTAAGTCAATGATTTTTTTTTTTTACTTTGCATTATTTTCTCTAGATTTAGTTCATGACTATTGCACAAACCTTTGACACTACCTAAAAAAGGTTCTGAAGCTGTTTTGTTTTTCAGCTGCTACTTTACAATATTAAATGTCATTTTATTGCTCTTCAGGTGAATAAATAAGTTTAGCTTGTTTTGTTGTGTAATTATTGATACATACTCAATAAAAAATAAGGGATGAATAAAATTTATGCAATGTTTTAAAACGTTAAGGAGTGACTTCAGTGCGTTTCTTCCAACTATATCAAGCTTTTGCATTAATATTTTTTTATGTTCACAAAGCTTAGACCATAAAGTAGTGGAACAACCAAAGTTTTATATAACTGGACAAAGGAATTTGGGTGAACAAAACGGATTCCAGATTGAATTAAAGTTTGGATTACTGCCCGGATTTTAGGAAAGGTGTCCCATATAAAGCCTAGATGACTTAATTTATCGTGAAGTTTTATTTGTTCGATATTGTGCGTTTTTTAATTTGCTTTTTTCCGGTAAGTATGAACTCGGTTTTGTCAGCATTCAATTTTATGCAGTTTTTGTGTATATATTACAGGTATTAATAAGCTTTTGTAAAAAAATTCCAACCCTATTAAAAATACTTAAAGAAAGATGTATATATATAAAAAAAGATGTTGTGCCTATAGAGGTAGCATGTTTTTAATAAATTTCTTTTTTTATTAGACTTTAAACGACTTAAAAATTTTAAATAAACTTAAAATTTAAATTTTCTCCGAAACGTCTTGTGATTTTTAGTTTTTATGTATTTAAGCAAAAAAAAAAAAAAATGACAGTTATCTCATTTTTAAGAGATTTGATGCTTAATTCTTTGCAATTTCTTTAATACATAGTAGTAAATTAAAAATTAAAAAAAAAAAATCAAAATTTCCAGAAAATTTCCGGAAATTTTCCGGAAATTTTCAACCCTACTCTAACCTAAATAAAACATGAAATGTCATAAAATCGACCACTTATGATTTCAGTAATGCATATAATTGTTTAGAAAACTCGATTTTAGCCTGAATTTTTTATCAAGTCGGGTTGACGAGATTAATTAGACAGAGGAAGAAATACACTTGGGGAAGAAAACGTCCACGTTAGTTTAATTTATTTTCGAATATTATCTGTACATAAAATTATATTTTTGGCTTTTGTTACAAGTGTTCAAAAACATAAAAAATCTAATAAACTTATTTTTGTGTTTTCGCTTTTTTCTTCCTATTCCTATATCTTCTGAAAACATGACGAAAACTGACGATATAAATTGCTACAATTATAATTATTTTTAAAATTTTCTCAATAGAAATATTTTTAAAATAAAACTTGAAAACTATGCAAAAAATAAACAAACAAAAAACAAAAAAAACAAAAACCAAAAAAAAAAAAAAAAAAAAAAACGAAAACGAACTTATAATTAAACTATTAATACAATTTTAATTATACATTATAAATTTTTTTTTTTCGAAAACAAAAACACATCTATAAATACTTTAATGCAGTAGTTATTCAATAAATAATGATTCGTTATTATTATTTTTTTAAGTTTTATTTTTCGAACCATCCACCATTATTTTTCATACAATCTACTTAGTTTACGTATTTTATGGATACTAGCCAATACAATTTTTTCATACTTTATTCCATTTAAAAAACAAAAAAATAACATAAAAATAATTTTTAAACATATGTTTGGTTTTTTAAGTAAAAAAGACTAAATACATAAATGCTCAGGACAAAAAATCACACCTTAGTTAAAAAAAAGGCATAAACAGAACTTTATTGTATTTTATGACCTAGAAATAATTACAATCAATTCTTCGACTATATTCCATATTGATCTTTTATATAACATACCAAAATATATGATATACAAGTATTCCTGCATTGAGCACAACTTATTTTTGCTAATTTTTAAATGCATTTTTTAATGTCTAGATTTTTCATCAGCCATGGAAGGTGAATATAAAAAAATTACTTACAGTCAATTGGAACTTGTGTTGCTGTATAATCATTACGTAACACATCTTCTACAAGTAAAGCATCTTCCTATTTCAATTTGTAACAATAAAACATTTGTAAAAGCCAGATATAGTTTAAATAAATATATTTTTGTAATCAAAGCTATCAATTAATAAAACGTTAAAAAAAGCTTAAACTAAAAAAACCTCTTTTTGGATTTGGTTTTTAATTGCTGATTCCATTTCTAATAATTTAAGCTGATTTTGAAAATCCAGTTCTTCAAGCTTAAAAAAACAAAAACTCAGGAATCATCATTTAATACCATCATGTCATAATCATCGCAACGTCAACATGCCACAAAGTCATCAAAATCAAAATTTTGAGAACTTGTGAGCAGTGGAAATGTAAAAACTTCTAAAATATGGTATAAACAACTGCATCACATATTAGAAAAAAAAACAATTTGAAAATGATTTTTTTAAAAGTTTGTGTTAATTTCATCCAAATCTGGAATTTGATTTAACTTGGGCAACAGTAGGTTTTAGATTTCTAAAAACGTGAATAAAACGACTTAAAAATTAAAAAATTATGAAAATCCATAAATATTTTAAATAATATTTAGCATGAACATAAACATAATGATGATGATGGTGATCATCATCATCATCATCATCATCATCATCATCATCATCATCATCATCATCATCATCATCATCATCATCATCATCATCATCATCATCATCATAATCATCATCAATTATCAATCATCATTCATCACACTTTTAAAGTCATCATCATCAATTATCAATCATCATAATCAACTATCAATCGTCATCATCAATTATCAATCATCATCATCATTCATTACACTTTTAAAGTCATCATCATCATCAATCATCATCATCATCATCATCAACTATCAATCATTACCATCAATCATCATCATCAATTATCAATCATCATCATCATTCATCACACTTTTAAAGTTTCAGTATCTAAACGCTAAATCCTCTTTTTTAGATCTTTTGCTCATAAAAGTTTGGGAAAATCAAAAACATTTAAACTCTGCCTATGATGCCAATTATTAAACACTGCATAAGACAAAACATCTTTATTGCCCCAAATCGTTATACATCATTATCACTTCTATACATAATCGCTGATGAAGTCAAGCAAATTACTGAACTTATTTTAAATAAAAAACAACTGCAGACATTAGTCTGATAAAACTAAGTAGTCTACAAGGTAATCTAACTTTTTCTAAAATTTTAACAAACAAATAGCAATCAGCTTCCAAATACCTTTTTAGATCTCAAATCAAAACTCTTATTAATAATAGAGTTTCTTAATTCAGCAGCTTTCATCACTTGCATGTTTTGACTTTTCAGTTGAATTGCTGCTAATTCTTTTTGCAATTCCTGGAAATAAACATAACCACAATAAAAATGAACCTTAATCAATATCAAAATTATATGTATAAAATGTTCATTAAAATGCCAGAAATTAAAAAAAACAAAAATTTAAAACTTGATTATTATATATAAAATAAAAAAATACATCAAAAATATTGATCTGAGACAGGATAAGAGCATGGTGTAGAACCTGAAAAATTTTAAAATGTCAATTTTTGTTATATTTTTCAAGTTTTTTTTATTTTTAATGCACCTGCAATGGATAAAATTTAAATTATAAACATGATTTTGTAATTATTTTTAAATTTTTTATTGTAGTGTTCACTGCTATTTGTTACTTATAAAACTTTGATCTGTTTTGATGACTGCACTGACTGGTGACTTAGTCTTCAAGAAGAGAACATTTGATGAATGAACTGACTGGTGACTAAGTCTTCAAGAAGAGAAATTTATGTACGCTTACAGAAGGCCTGGTCAAAGATTATTGATAAAATTGACACCTCATCAGATAACCTGGTTGGGTTTAATTAGACTAAGTTTAATTTAGAGGTTTGATCACTTATCTACAATATATGTATTCAAAAGAGAAGACTACAATTATCTTTTCCAACTTTATGTTTACTACCTGCAAAAAACTCTTAGTTTCTAATTCCTATGGAGTTCATGAAGGGCAAACCTAAAATGCCAGTTTTTGGAACACATTAATGTAAATAGAGCTTATGAGATTTGGTTGATAACTAAACAACCACATACACAAAGCCTGATAAATTTTCAGCATGCATATTTTGCATTTATAAGTAATTATAAGAATTTTAAGTGGCCTAATCTTTTTGGCAATAAACGTATATATCATAAATAAATGAATTTGAAAACAAAATCCAAAATTATTTTCAGTTTTATTAACTTTATAAATTCAATTTATTTCTTTTTGTGCACTTAAAAAAAAAAAAAAAATTCATTTTTAAAATGACTGTCGACACTATTAAAAAGAGTCATTTAAAAAAAATAATCATACACTAGAAAATATCAAGCATAATACTGCCATAAAAACCTAAAACACAGAAACTTGAAAATTGCTTTTGAGTGTTTTTTCAGTAAAAATGTAGCATTTTCAGTAACTCTAGCATTAAACTATGCTTTCAAGTTACTATGTTTTGGTTTTAAATTGCAGTATACTGGTACCCTTAGCAAATACTGATTGTAAATTTGATATATGATTTCTAGAAAAGGTTATCAGTTAAAAAAAACAAAACTGTATGTATATTTGAAGTCTCAATAAGTTGTTATTTATAAATAAAAAATAAATAAAATAAAAAAATTAGGATATTTTTAAGCCATTTATATCAAGAAAATTTATTAAATAAAAATCAGAATTAATGATATATGATATAATGATTATGATATAATGATATAAATTAAAAATATATGATCCAAGTAAAACTATTTTTAATTTAGAGCTCTCAGAACAATTAAAATTTAATTTCTTGCTTACAAAAAATAAATAAAAAAATACAGATATTAAAAGGTGAAATATAATAACCTGATAATCTCAAAAAGAAGAAACTGAAAGTAATAAAAGAAAGTTAGATAAGTATTTTATACTAATACCAAACCCTCTAGGCTTGGTGTAAATATGTTTCATTAACTCCAAGTACCATTGAACCACTCTTTCTTTTTAATTTGCTTTTTTTCCAAATACATCTCAAAAGATATATTTGGAAATACAGAGGAAAAAAAAGAACTTCAAAATGACAAAAAGAATGAATGTTCTATATATTTTAGATATAAGATGTTATTTATATTATTTAAAATATAAAAACGTATTAAATAAAAAATAGTAACATTTTATTGCATATACTATATATTAAGTGGTGCACTGCTTTAATATACTTTATAAATAATAAATTTCAATTTAGAAATAATTATTAATGATAAATAGTAATAATTAGCGATAAAAATATACAAGAAGAAAAGAGAACTAGATAAATTGATACCTAAAAACAGAAGAAAAAGAAAAAATTATTTATTATTAATGCAGCTAAACCAGCCATTTCAGGTAATGTCAATAAGTTAAACTACCTGTATATATATATATATATATATATATATATATATATATATATATATATATATATATATATATATATATATATATATATATATATATATATATATTTATTTATATATATACATATACATATATATATATACATATACATATATATATATATATATATATATATATATATATATATATATATATATATATATATATATATATATATACACATATTTATATATGTGTGTGTGTATATTTATATATATATATATATATATATAAATGTATAAATATATATATATATACACATGTATACATATATACACATATATATATATATACATATATAAATATACACACACACATACACACACACACACACACACACATATATATATATATATATATATATATATATATATATATATATATATATAATGTATATGTATATATATATATGTATATGTATATATATATATAAATATATATATATATATATATGTATATATATATATATATATATATATATATATATATATATATATATATATATATATATATATATATATATATATATATATATATATATATACATTTTGCGGTACGGCAAAAACATAAGACGCAACTATAAAAACACAGAGAATTATTTATCTAAATAATAATTAGACATGAAATTTTGATTAAGTTTTTATTATTTTGATAAATTAAATTTGATTTGATTAATGAGGCATCTATAGTGAACTAATTTTTACTATATTTTCAATTTATATATATATATATATATATATATATATATATATATATATATATATATATATATATATATATATATATATATATATATATATATATATATATATATATATATATATATATGTATATATAAAATATATTTCAAATTTTTGTACAATTTTATCTTATTTGAGACCAGACATGAATTATATTTGAAATATTGATGATATTGGGGATCCGTTAAATGTTTAAGGTTCTTGAGGCACTTATGATGACTAATAAAGCAAATTTCAAATCATAAAAATTTACAAAATTAAAATATTTTAACAGTAGAAAACCTAAAATAAAACATTAGTAACAAAGGTAAAAAAATATTCAATTAAAAGTATGCATGAATCAAAGCCAGTAAATTTTTAAAGCCTTTTGACAAAATTTTTTTTGTTCTTTTATTTCTTGAATAGGTTCAAGGTAATATTTTTGACGTTTTGAGTCTGATGGTTAAAAAACTAGCAGCGATTTTTTTTATTAATTGAACAATGTGTAAGTCCTCATAAAAATGATCAACATGTAAGTCTTTATAAAAATGATCAACATGTAAGCCATCATAAAAATGATGTGATTACATTCTAAATCAGTTGATTTATGTACGCATTTTGCACTTATTTAATGAAACTTAGAGAAATAAAAATAACGAACATAACTATATATAAACAACAATTATATATAAAACATAGAACTACTTAAAAATTAAAACTAAACAAAATTACTTAGACATTAAAATTAAAAAGAAAAATCCTAAATGAAGATTTGAACCTTCAACCCTGTCGGCCGCGCCTCAAAAAACAATGTTTTTCACATGCACAGAAATTTGCGAATATTAGGTCGTTAAAAAATTTAAGTATTTTAATATTTACTTGCATACAAATAAGATTTTTATAATGTAAACATTATAAGTATGCACATACAAATAATGACTTTCTTATAGGAATGCTCAATTCACAAAGTAAAATAAAATAAAAAATAATAATATATACAATTAATAATATGCCTTGTAATAACTTATACAGTAAATAACAATATTACATTTTAATTATAAGTGTATTATTAGTATTGTTAGTATTAGTACCAGGGGTGTGAAGTCGTAAAAAAAAAGTAACAACTCCGACTCCAGTTGTTCAAATTTTTTGAGTACAACTCCGACTCTGACTCCTACTCCAACTCCTACTCCAAAGCAAAATTTTTTAAAAATTCTTTGAATTCTTTAAAAAATATTGCGCGATAAGTTAAAAATTTTTTTTTTTGACAAATTTATGAAACATTCTTTGAGGTTTAGTATGAACATAAGGTTAATTGAATGTTTTGTACATGCACGTGCAATACCAAGAAATTTTACTATCGGAATCGGAGTTGCGATATTTTTTAGCGATATTTTTTGCCATACCGCAAGATGGCAGAGTCTGGCTTCACTTTTTAACTCAAGTCATGCATCTAGTTATATTTATACATCGTTGGTTATGAATAACTTTTAATACCGTAATATTACAACATGGACATTTGGGAACCACTTTTAGTTTGCGTAATACTATGGCATGGACTGTTAACAGATTACCTTTTTTTTTTCAGCGCATCAAAACATCTAAACAGTTGTGGCCAAGTTGTTAACAAAAAAATCAATTGCCTGGTCAGCAATAGCATTTGATGGCATGCCATTCCTGTCCGAGCTTTATTTTGTAGAATTTAATTTCAGTCGGACAAAATTTCCGATTACTTTGTAAATTGATCGGACAATCTGAGGTTTTAGCTGGACAAAGTCTGATGTCCAATTGTTAAATTGAGCTCTGTGTATATATTAGGGTAGTTACTTTTAAGGAAATTTTTGAATTTCAATTAACTACCCCTTTAAATGTGGGACATTGATTTTAAAACTAACTTTGGGAAAAAATTAGCCTGATTAGACCACTATTGTGCCTCCCCCAAACCTCTTTAATTAAAAAAAAAAGATCTAAAAAATGACTATGTTCGTAAGGCTTGGGGAGGTAGTAATATCAATATTTTGAACTGATTTTTTTTTATAAAGTAGGTATTGATGTATATTTTCAAATAAAAAGGGTAGTTAAGGGAGAATTTGCCAACTTTTGCTGTTTTATTGTGTTAAATAGTGTTAAAAATTGCAAAAATATGAATTATTTTACAGCAAATTATATGAATGATGAAA